TTTTTTTTTTCATTCTTGACAAGAGCAATGTGACTGCAAAGCCGGAAGTTAAAAACGTCGTGTCGAATGTCCTCACCCCATCTGGGCCACATGAGCTAACCATCCACTGCTATTTTGTAGTTGAGGAAACAGGTTCAGAGGGTAGGAAACTTGCTTGCCGTCCCCCAGCAGTGACAAAGCCTTAATTCTACCCAGTAAGCTATGGGCACCCCCTTCTAGTGAAGGTAGGGGTGCTGCGGATGGCCTAGGACACATATCCTTTCACCTGTCACTCAGTTCTAATCTTGGCTATTAACAGAAAAGGAGGTGGGAGGTACCCCTGAAGAACGACCCAGGCACCTCTCACCAACATCAGCTGGTGGAACCCCATGGGACAGGCTCTAGGCTCACTCATCCTGAGTCGATATTGCTTCTATGGCAACTTGGTTTTCGAATTTGGGGGAGACCGGAGCCGATTTCCCTCTACTTCTTGCAGAACAGCTAGAGAATTTGGAATGTGATTATTCCCTTGTCAGGAAGTGTCTGATGTGAATTCTCTCCTTGGTATTGAATTCAATTCTCCCAGAACAGAAGGTCAGCGCTCCGCTACAAAAGCCCCGTGAGCTTGTGGTCAAGCCCTGTCCATTTTCCCAGCCCTTCACAAGAACTGTAACAATTCCATTGCGAGTAGGACAGGGCACGAGCTGATGAGAACCTGGAGTGCATGGTTTGCAACATCTGTTTCAAAAGTAACATTTTCAAGAGCCAGGCATCTGACTTGCAGAGAAGTGTTTAGCTCAACTGAAACATTGTTAAACTCATCAGTCTAGGGCCATCCACATCTATGCCCCTTACCCAAGGAATACCAGTAGCAATAGAGTTGCTTACAGCTTTATTTTGAGGTCAACAAAAATTCCACTTGCAACTTCTACCCCCAGGCTTCGATCTTCAAGTGCCTTCTCGTTGGTTCAGGGGCGTTTTCTTGGACAAGAGCAGAAGCTGAATTTTCCCTGCCCACAGTGTGCTCCCGTCACATACGGCAGCCACGTGTTCCTGTCCTTGTGACAATCCTCCCAAGGACTGTAGGTGAGAGGGAGGATCTGCACGATCCTCCCAAGCGTTGTAGGTGAGAGGGAGCAGGAAGGTGGGATCGAGCTAAGAATGATTACGAGTAACTCCTCCGTCTTCCAGGGTACTTGGAGTCGGATCCTACATATTTTATCAATGAGAACATAGGCAGATTCTACCCACTGTATTTATTTTCACAAATACATCACTCAGGGAAACACGTGGTCCCCACCGTGTCTCTCGGCCCCTACACAGCGCTGCCATCTTCTGAAGCTGGAATGTTGTCTCCCAGCTGATCCCTGGTCTCCACCCACCAGGCGGCTCCTGAGGGCTCAGTTAAGAGCCATTGCCATCACTGAGCTTTTCCTTGGAAAACTTCTCCCACCCCAGGCCCTCAGAGTGGTTGGCTTGTATGACTCACATGACACTTCATACGGACAATCTGATGCCGACGTCATCTGTGTATGCTGTTGATCTCCACTCAGCAGAAGCTTCTTTGGGAGTTGAGGTCATTTTCTCACTGAAATGTAGTCAGTGAACATGGCCCTTCTAGCCAGAATTCCTCACACGATGTATTACAATTTTAGACTCCATCCCCGTGGTTATAAATCCATTTTGGAAGGAGTTTTCTGCTACACTCTCGGGCAGGATTAAATTCTGGTTTTCGTAAAGGGTGTGAAGCAAGTCAGACCCTTTGTTCTCTTGGGGTCATATGATCTGCTGAAAGACGGAAAACACTTCCATCAAAGCCAGTCCTCTGTGTACGAGCCCTCATGGACAGAGAGGCGGCCCAGGGCCATCGAAGCGCACATTCCAGAGCTAGGTCTGAAGCAGTGATGGTGAGAGCAGCGGCAGGGGGGCTGGCTCAGCTCAGAGGCGCAGCACGAAAACTCTGGGGTACCTGCTTCTCATCTGGCCCCAGACTATGGGACTTGGAGAAAGAGAGCCAGGCAGGCTGGCTTCCTGGCCCCCAGAGGCAGAAGGCACGGGACTTTGTGGCTGAGAGGCTGAGGTCCAGAGAGGGACTGGCCTGCTGAAGAGAGGTGTGATTACAAGCCAAGGACTAGCCCCTTCCTGGTTGCTGATCCTGGCTCTTCGTTTCCCCAATGAGCTCCATCATCAGAGTACAGTTGGTGATTTCTGTGTGGCCCCTGCAAAGACTTGTTGAGCCTTGCACAGGTGTAGAGTGGTGTGGAGGGACAGCTGGGGTGAGAACAGGTAGAGGACAGACTTTGGAGGTGTTCCTGACCCTTGCCAGCCCCAGCCTTTTTACTGCAACCCACAGACGTGATTTGCTCAATATACCTAGCTCAGTTCATCTGTTCTCAGAGGCAAGCACTCTCTCCCAGTGAGCTACGTGATATTTCTTTAAGGTCTGGTCAACTCAGTAACATAAACTGACAACAGAGGGGGCACTCATAAACACTCTTCAGGAGACTCCCATTACCTGGGAAAGGTGGCAGTGACTGGCTCTCCCTCCGACATGACATCACCCATGTACTACCGGGCCCAACTCTGCTTGTTTCTACAACTCCCATTCAGGAGCCCAAGCAGTGTCCATATTCCTACATTTGTGAGTCTGGAGTCAGAGGCAGCGACCGAGGGAACATCAGTGGAGGAGAACACAGAGCAGGCAGAAGTAAGAACCAGGGCTTTCTTCTCATCTTTCCCAGTAAGGTCAAACGTCAAATTAGAAAGCGGAGAACTATCTGATTTTCAGTCTGTGATGGGAGTCACAGATGTTAACCAAGTTCACACAACCCAGACCTCAATGACAACAATCACCTTTGGATGTGCTCGGAATGACTGTCGGATAGCTAGCAGTCAGAACTCTGCAGAAACAATGACCACTAGCAGATCAAAGACAGATGAATAGTAGCTCTACTTTTCAGAGTTCTGAATGGTGCAAATGGTGGCTGTGGTAGTTACATAATCTTTTGTTAACTTGCATATAGGGGTGGAGTTTAGCCTGTCAATCAGGTCGCAGCTTGATGACCTCATTCAGACACAGGGCAGAGATAAATAATCACTGGAGGCCAGACACTCTCTCTGCTTTGTCTTCCTGGAGGAGTAGGAGTAGGAGAGCTGGAGGAGTCATGTGGAGATCCACGCCAGTGCTGAGATGCTTCCACCACCACTGGATCCACAAGACTCTCTACCCACTGGCCTGTGATCTTCCTGCATTCAGCATCCTCGCATGGCTGTGTGAGTCTAAAGAGGAATTTATGGACTAGTATTAATATATGGAGTAATATCTGTCTTATGGACTTGATCTGGAATGGGGTAGGATATTTTATTAATGTATAATTGCTCTTTATTTATAAAGTGTCTCTGGATTTTCTCTGGTCTACCCAGACTAACAGTGGCAGTCAATGTGACAGCCCTGGAACCAGGTCATTGGTGCCGTGGGGGTACCAGGCCCACTAATCCAGCATGTTCTATCAGGGACTGTGCTATTCTGATTTCCATCGGTCTCATCTTTGCATCTTATTTTTAAAAGTAACCCCCTCATCCCCGACTTAAGAGGGGGACACAGGGTATGATTAATGATTCACCTCAAACCTCCAACAATGCTTTGCACTTTTTGGATAACATCTCAAAGAGGAAATGTCGTTTCAGTGGAACTAATTTAAAGATATGGACAAATTCATGTATTTCCATTTTAAGGGACCATGTGGGATGAAGACCAGGGGGTAGGAGGAGGGATGGGCCCATGACAGACGGAGGTGGACTGGGAAGGGCCCGAATCTGGGATGTGATCTGACATTAGCGATGGAGCAAAGTGGGACCTTCTAATTTCGGAGGTCTGCCTCCCGTTACACATAAAGCTTTATTGTCACACAAGCACAAATGTCAAATCGATATTCATTTACATACTGTCTGCAGCTATTTTTACATGTCACGTGGCAGAGTTGAACAACTGCCAGAGACCACATGGCCCATCAAATATGGATATTTACCAAATGGCTCTTTACAGAAAAGCTGTGCCGACCCTTGGTCTAGGCCTAGATCTCAGGAAGTTAACAGCCAGGATGAGGACAGATGCTAGGATTGTGTTTAGAGCAGTGAAGGATGTGCTCAGGGGAAATGAGCGGGCGGAGCCTCCCCCACGCCCAGCTGTGGCTTGCTCATGTGCGCCCCTTGAGCAGTCGCTCAGGGGAAATGAGCGGGCGGAGCCTCCCCCACGCCCAGCTGTGGCTTGCTCATGTGCGCCCCTTGAGCAGTCCCACGGGCTACAGGACGTTTGAGAGAAGATGCCATTATCTTTCAATAATGCACCCCCTTCCTTGTGGCCTTTAGACCCAACTATTGACATTTATTTGATTGACTTCCAGAGTTGCCAGAAGTAGATTTTTGTCCCCAGACCTTTAGGATTGGTAGCCCATAGAAGATGTAATACACCAAGAACAGATCATCAAAAATGTTTTAATGATTAATGTTTGGACATTATGTAACAGTGTGGGTATACCCAGATGAGCTAAGCACACTTTAACAGCACTATTGAATGTTACAGTCTCTGAATCGACAGATGCAAGCTCATTGGCAAACTAGTACCTAGGAGTGAAGACATACATTTACAAATATACACAATTCAGGGCTGATAAGGTAAATGTAAACAGATGTTGTGACTCCTTCTAAACAGAAAACCCACAAGACTAATAAGGGAACCAAGTGGCTCTCTGTAATATGAATGTGCAAAATTAAAGCATGGTAAACTGATATTTACATACACATCAAACCAACAGCTAGTTTATGCATTGTCAATGACTTCTAAGATGTCATTTGAGTGGTTCAATGTATGCTTTTTCAGTAAAGGTAATCAAAGGCGAAATCCCAACACTGTAAAATGACACACAGAATAGTTTTTTTTTAAATCTGTTTAACCCCTGCCTCGTGTGTGTGAGGCATGACTTTACTATAAGCAGTATGTTATTTATAAACAGGCAGTTCTACACAGTCTTTAGATTTTAAGCAGGAAAAAAAACCAAACTAAAATTGCAATTAAATTACATTAGACAAATTATATCCATCCAATTTCCCAGTTCTTACACGCTGTGACTATCTGTTTAATTTTACCTTACACATTCTAACATCCTTCTCCCCACCCCGTCAAATCCGTTTGGGTAAGCTAGGCACATTTCAACTGGAAGTTTGTGTCAAGACAGACAGCAGTACAGAAACAAGCTGATATTTGGACCCTGGCAACCACTTCCTCTCTCTTCATCACTAAGGCTATCGAAGTAACACGCATCCAAGCATCACCTTCGACCAGTACGCATCCTCTCTCACACTTGGAAAAGTAAAATGGGCTTGGCTTCCTGAATAAAAACACTTAGTGCTTCAGAAATTAAACACAGCCTAGTTACCCGGCTACACCTAAAGTCTCGAAGACAAAGAATATATATATTTTAAAGCTTCATCATCAAGACTAGTTTAGAGTCCCCTTCAACCTTTATTTTTAACCTTTTTTTTTTACATTATTAAGAGTGGCACTCAAAATAAAAAAATAAGATCTGTTAAAAAGTTATACTGACTGTGTCGCTGGGTTGGAGCCTTGCTTGACTTCAAAGCCAGTGTTACAAACCCCCTGGCACCATTTCTGCTTGCCCACATGCAGGCCGCTGGAAATTTCGCATCACGCGCTTGTTGTTTCACAAATGCCAGACTTTGAATTTTCTGAGCCGAGCTATAGTTTTTTTTTACAAAATGGCTAAAAACTGGACACCTTCCCTAATTTTAACGAATAAGCTTTGGGCCCCGCTTTTGTAGATTTTTAAGGCATGTGTGTTTCTCTATGGTAACAACATTGTACACACATTTACAATCACGTGCATGACCTACAAGTTAAAAAAAGGAGGGGGGACAAAAGGGGAGTTTGGATTACAGTGTTTGTAAATTGTGAACCACAATTCAGCACCTATCATGTTAAAACTAATAAGGCAACAGCAGTGTCAAATACTACGATAACACTCCCTTCCTTCTCCACAGTGTAGCGCAGGGATGCGAGCCCAGAAATATTAAAAATCGTATGCCTACTGGAATAATCGGTAGACCTCGTCTAGGGGGTCTGGAACTGATGAAGGAGGCCTACATGAATCTCACTATTGTAGGCCGACTAGGAACAGCAGCGGTTAACGAGCGTGGGGGCACAACGCATTGTGCTCACAATCAGACACGCGGTTCGCAGCCTTGCCGCCTGGGTCTTCAGTCCTTGCGCTGCTTCCGTGGCTTTACGTGGTTTCCCAGCGGGGAGAAGCTGTCGGCGTGTCCGTTCACAGCGGCCACGGCCCCGTTCTGGTGGTCCTTCAGGGGCTCTCTCCTCCGTGAGGTCCCCTTCTTGTTATAAGTCTGCAGAGAATGCGAAGAAGGGGAGATGAGAGGCGGGGATGGCACCTTCACCCCCCCACTCCTTCCACCGCATAAGAGAGACGGATTCAACGGTTTCTACACTTTCCATTCCCCGCGTCCCCCTAGAGTGGCTCCTCCCCTCGTCTCGGACACTGGCCAGCTCATCTTGCAGGCGGCTGGTGTCCTGGCTGACGCAGGTCTTCAACAGAACCCCATGCTCAAGTTCAGTGTCCTACACTCCCAAGCGAGCTGAGCTCCTGCGTGGTTTTAAGACGGCTTTAGGGGATAGTTTTGGTTGAACGTAAAGATTATCTGAAAACAAATCATTATTAGAGGCAATCGTTTCGGAGGCTCATCCAACTTCCAGGGCTCCTCAAAGTCTAGATGCCACCGTAATTTAAAATCCTGTTTGTTTTCGTTTGTTTCTTCAATGACTAGCTTCAATGACTCTTCTATCTGTGGGGTTTGAGGTTCAGTCCCTAGAGGCTTAATGGAAATACGATTTTAAGAAGCAAACTAGGAATTTCAACTTATGCTTCCCTCTAGCTTGTCAGCAGCCGGCGATGCAGATGGTGAGAACAGGCCCTGGGACGAAATTGGTTTCCCCCATTTGGTAGCACCTTTCTCGACACCCAGGTCATTTGCTTGTCATCGAAATCTCTGCCTGACCGGAGGCCCAGCAGCCGTGTGCACACAGTGCTCGCTGTAGTTAGAAGATGTGTGCCTTCACTCTCTCTTCCGCGGGCCCTGCCCGGTAACGTCCTAGGTACCTGGGGGAGGCTCCGAGGGTGGTTAGAAATGGCTGCTGAATTGCAGCATGATCTCAACAGCAGGGCAGCAGCATAGGAACTCAAGCGAAGCATGCCACACAGCAGTGCGCGTGGGTGAAGGGCCAGTGGGCACAGAGGGAAGTCTCCAGGTGGCTGCCTGACTTAACTGGGCTTATGGCCTCGGGACCCAGGCCCTCTCCCTCTGTTCCTGTCCCACAGCAGGCAGTGCAGCCACTAGGCCTAGCTGGGGAGTGGACAGCGAACAGCACACCCACCATCTGGAGGTGGCAGGGGCAGATGACTCATAGCAAGGCAGAGGGGTCAGCTTCCTTCAGAGGTCATCCATCCTGCTCGGGCCCTCTATGAGCGGAGGCCTCCCACACATCAAGCAGCAGCAGTGGGGCTGAGGGCTTCTGGGTGAATGAAAGCCACCTCAGACCACTGCTTTAGGCCAAACAAGAAGGCAGGATTTCCTGCTCAGCAGCTATGCCTTTGCCACAGAAGTCCCGAGACGACTCCCTAACTAAGCATCTAGAACAGTCCGTGTCTGAGGCAGATCTGAAAGTCTTCCACCGTGGCTGCCAGCTCCTCAGAGGCAGGGGCTGACCGGTTCCTGAAACTCCACTGGACACAGCCTGGCTCCACCTGGCCTGTGAGCGAATGGTGAGCACAGTGGGCCCAGACAGCCCCAGTCACTCACCAGCAGAGCCTCGTGTGCCTTACCTGAATGTAGAAGTTGGTGAAGAGCACAATGAGAGAAATCATGTAGCCGATCTGGAAGTACAACCAACCCAGAGGGAAGGAGCAAGGCCAGATGACCCCGCAGCTGGTCTGGATGATGGTCAGCACGAACTGGAGCTGGAGACACACAGAGGGGGACATCTGAGCGGGGCAGTGGGACAAGGCCTCCCCGCCAGTCTGGGTGAAGACGTCATCTCGCAAACGGCACACGCTGCATTCATTCATCACAGGGGCGTGTGGGTGCTTGTTTCAGGTGGACACATTTCTACCCCCCACAAGCCACCACCAGCTCCAGCACCCAACGTGAACCCACTGATACTTGCACCGTCGCCCGTACAATTCAGGGACCCGGGGTAGAGAAGACGCCAGGCTTTCACTTGGCTGTTTTCAAGGGGGAACGGCGGATGTGGGGTGTATGTTTAAAGGATATGAGAGATGTCGCCGCCGCAGGAAGCAGCCGCACCACACACTTGTCATTCCTCACCTGTGCACTCTTTGCCCTGCTCAAGACTGAAGGCTAGATTTAAACCACGTTCATCCCTGCGGAGGAAACCAGGACAGGCATTCTTGGAGGAAGCGCTACCTGAGGGAGCATCTCCACAGGGCCGGGCTCAGCCCACTGTGGCTGACCCGGTGAAGAACTGCTTTCCGCTGCTCTTTCAAGGCTCGTGCTCCGGGTTGGGAAATAACTAGGAAAAGCCCTTAAAGGAAATGTGAACACCATGGTTGTGACCTCAAGTACCGAGTTCCGTGGGAAGCTCATGTCTTGTCTGGTCTTTTGAAATTCGGCTCTGCCAGAACCACAGCCGTGGGCTATCAATCACTCTGCCTCCTTCCCCTCAGGTGTGACCAGGCTACTAGTACGATTATCCGTCATCACGGGTGGTGGACAGGTTAACAGACAGCTGGCAAAGAGGTGAAGACGAAGAGCCACGCGCGGAAGAAACTCATGTGATGTCCTCAGACTGTGCTTTTAAACAGTGAAGATGCACGACAGGCTTGGGGGCCCAACTCCACAGTTATAGTGTAGAGACATTAATAATGAGGGAGGCCGGGCCCGAGGGTTTCTACTGCCTCAGTGTCCCCGTGAGACAGCCCACCTAGACGAGAGGCAGGAGACTGGAACAGTATCTACATCAATAGCTTACTGATCAGCGCGACGTCTCTCAGGACAATCAACGCCAGTGTGGCAGAGTGACAGCAGTATCAATACATTCGTAGTTATGAATGAATGAGGGGAGGGGCTAAGTCAATGCTTCCCCCAAGACTTCTGGGGAGAAGAGAGGAGGAAGGGGGGATGACAAACAACCTCGGTGGGCTAGCAGCTGACCGAGTGGGAAGGGCTGCCGTATACGCTTTAAGGACCTGGACTCAGGTGACTTCACCACTCCTTCTAAAATTCTTGGAACACAGAATAACACATTTTTACCCTTGAGTTGTACATTATAACTGGACACACACACCACAAACAACACGTCTCCATGTACACAAAAGGACCAAGGAACTGCCCTTGCAGGAAGTGAGTCAGGTCCAGTGCGCTGTCTGACCAGCTGTGTGTCCCTGGGCACAGTTCTCTCCGTTAATTAAAAAGGACAATTCCTGGCTCTGTCTACTTCTAATTTGACTCCATAATTGGACTCCATGAGCAGATGTGGGAAAGATACCTCTTATCAGCGGTTCTCAACCTTCCTCATGCCTTGACCCTTGAATACAGATCCTCATGTTGTGGTGAGCCCACAACCATAAAATTATTTTCATTGCTACTTCATCACTGTAATTTTACTACTGTTATGAATTGGGCGACCCCTGTGGAAGGGCCGTTCGAGTCCCAAAGGGGTTGTGACCCACAGGTTGAGAACCGCTGTCTTAGAGGCTGGTGAACAATAGGAGGAGGAAGCAAGAGCATCCTAAGGAAGAGGTCCGCGTCTCCCAGAAAGGGGACGAGTCACTCACCAGCTGCCCCTGAGTGATGTACTTCTTCCACCAGAGGTACGGACGCATGGAAGGCACGGACGACAGACCATAGTAGGAATACATGAGGACGTGGATGAAGCTATTCAGTGTGGCACCAAAGTACGCTGCAGGGACAGGGGGGAGGAGAGGTCATGTGAGGGTTTTATGCATGACAAGCAGGAAAAAAAAATTAAGGTTAAAAAAATTGTATCTATATAGTGAAGAGACCTTTTTTTTGAACAGGGGTTGGCAGGCCCTGAAGCAGCGAGCACTGCGGGCATGTGTCATCAGGAAGCAATTTCCACTTGGGCAGGCTGCCCTAAGGATGCTCTAAGCACAGGGTCAGCAGAACTGTCAGGGTCCCAGAGTGAACACAGGAGTTGCTGCCCCCAGCTGCCTGCTTCTGGCACCTACAGGCTCTGCCTCCAGCCCCCCTAACCAATGTCCGGAGGTGGCTGCCTTTGCTTACATGCCCAAATATCTCACGTGTTGTTGTGAAGGCTTGGGACAGCTGGTGGACACCATGTCTCCATAAATGTGTCGAGGCTCGGAGAAGCCTTTGACGTCACCTCCCAATTACTCCCAGGACATCGGTGCCGAGGCTGTGCCCTGAGCAGAGGCCAGTCCCACAGGGGGAAGGAGCCATTGCATCTCATGATTTTCAAACTCCCATCAGGACTGCTAGGTTCCTTTTTTAGAGTCTCTGTCCCCTGGGCCTCACAGCATACAACTACAAAAAGCCATCTGGCTTTTCCGCACGCAGCCAAGGCCATGGGTACAAGGCTGGGGTCAGGGAAAGAATCCCAGTCTTGGCTATGATCGTAGGTGGCCACACCCACTCTCTCAGGGCCAGCGGGCGAGTGCTACTGTCAGGCTGCAGGCGTCCGGAAGGTCGATGCCCTGACTCTACGAAGGTACCCGCAGCTACTTCCCCTAGAAAGGGCAGCTATGCCACACAGCCAGCTTTGTTCCCTGGCACCCACCCCACAATGGTGGGAGCCCACCCTCCCTGCCAAACCTCACAAGAAGAAGGATCAGAACTCACTCAGGAACAGCTAACCTCTGAGGCAGAGAACATTATCCACATTTTAAAAGATGCCTTCCAAGCTGGGCATTTGTGATCTCCCGAATCTGGCCAATTCGGGTTTTACTCAATTAGAAAAAGGGTGTTGACAACTTCCTGATCTGCACCGACCACATGAAAGATCACTGTGAGTGGCTGGGGCCAAGTTCAAGTTCAGCCGCCTGACTTAGTAACATCTACAGAAACACACCTTCTCTGAATGGCTTGAGCTTCAGTTGATTCACCCCTGCCCTCCCCACTCATACTCACAGTGGCCGCAGGGCACCCAGTTCATCACAAACCACCAGATGTTCAGCATGGAGGCATGGTGGTACACGTGCAGGACCGTGACCTGGTGGTTGTTCTTGCGTAAGATGAAGAAGAAGGTGTCCATGAACTCGATGAGCTTGGAGAAGTAGTACCACCAGAGCACATGGATGATCTGGGGAGAGGGGTCAGAGACTTAGTTTTCCTAACTTAACAGCCCCAAGTTCGATCCGAAAGCAGACATCCTGATGTTCTTCAGCTGCACACCCTGGACAGGTGTGCAGGGAAAACAAGGCTGGTCCCCCGGGCCCTAGCTACCTTCCTAGACTGCGCAGACACAAGAGGCCTACGGTTCAGCACCCAGAAGTCTGCCTTCTGCCCCTGGAAGTGGCTTGTGGGTCTTTGATTCAGGAAAGCCGCCAAAAGGGCGCTTTTGCCTCTGGGGACTGGCATGGGCCCTCGGACACAACACAGGGCACAGAAGAAAGGGAGCGGAGCTTCCCGTGCCAGCTACCTGACAAGCATGTTGAAAAGCTGTCCCCTGACTGGGCACTTCCTGCCAGCCTTCTGGAAACACAAGACCCAAGGCACTCCACTGAGACTGGAGAGCAGATACTACCTCTAACACCAGCGCCCAGAGGGCACTGAACAGACCGATGTAAAGTTTTAGGACCTGGTCTATGAACTGACTTATGTAACTGCAGCAGTATCCCGGCCAATGCATGCGGTCTCCCCTCCCCAGAAAGTGCTTCTGCAGAGAGGGAAGCTTAACTTTTCATTTTATACCTTTCATGTATTTATTTTCAAACCATGCTTTTACTATTAGTGCTTTTTTAAGACCCACAGATTATCTGGGCAATGAGGTAATGGGCTACTTTTATACATTTTCATTTTGAAAAACACAAACATAGTACATACTACTAAGGGGGTTGGGGGAGGCACAATACCTTCATGTCTGATTCTCCTGCACTGCGCGTCCCCTGACAGAAGAAGTTGTATCTGCCTTCCCACACTCCTGTCACTAACTGCAAGACAAGCAAGAAGCCATTCAGCAACATATCAGAGCCGTGTGAAGACTTGCATAAACGGTGGAACCTGAAAACGTCTACCCTGGGCTATGCAGAAGAGCGTTTGCTCTGAGAAAACAAAAGGACAGGGATGTGTCAAGAGAAGGGGACAGTTGAAGGGTCAGAGCCCCGCCTCACAAGAGATGCACGTGGTTACAGAGTCAGTGGGAAAGTTCAGGGTCACTCCTGGCTGCCTGAGGTTAGAGGCCATCCTTTACCACTCGGCCTCTTTGCAGACTTCTCAACCATCTCCTTGGGTCAAACACAATGTAACTTGCCGACCTGAAACCCGAACTAAGCCCCCACAGCCACAGGGCCACAGCTGTCTTGTGCCTCCGGCTGCCACTGTTATACTCATTTCCAACCTGAGTCAAGCCCTGATTTTCAAACTGGTCCGGAAACTCAGTTGAACACAAAATGCTTCACAATATAGCTTCCTTAAAGCCTGAAGGGACTGGGGGGCTGCTCTGTTCCTGGGATGGCCGTGAGGTCTATGTTGAAGGGTGTGTGTGTGTCTGTGAGCTGCAAGCAAACCCTGAGGAAGAGGCCGCTGGGTGGGGGTGGGGGTCTGAGGCAGTGCAGTCTTTTAGTTTCTGTGTAGCCCTTGATAAAAAAAATATAAAGTTGTGATAAAATATACATGAACACAAAATGTACCATACGAACCGTTCTAAGGATACAAATCATTTGTACCTTCAGCACATTCACAAATATTGTACAGCCCAAACCACTGGGTCACCACTACTATTTCCAGAACTTTCCTGTCAGCTCAAACGCTGTCCTCATGAAGCTGTATCCGCTCATTCCATCCATTCTTCCAGCCCCGGTAACCTCTATGGTACTGTCTGGCTCCAAGCACGGGCCTGTTCTGAACACCACAGAAAGTGGTGCTGTGTCGTATGTGCCCTGCTCTGTCTTGCTTATGTCACTCGGTGGGATGCTTCCAAAGTTCACCCAAGTTAAAGGCCATCAGAGTCTGCTTCCTTCCTTTGGAGGAGTGAAAACTCCTCTGTTGCACGATGTGCCACACTTCACCCTAGCCATCCATCCAATGTGGACCCTGGCTTACCCACCTTTGGGCTATTAGGAACACAGCTGCCATGGACACAGCAGCCTTCAATTTCCCAGATGATGGAACCGAGGCCCCAGGTGCCAGCAGGGCAGAGCAGAGGTCAGAACCCAGATCTGAAGTATAACAGATCATCCCCAGAGCGCTGTTTGTGTAATCCCCGGCAGCTAGCAGCCCCACCCAGTTGTTGCCAACGTATACAACTGCCTCCTTGTTGTCGCTATTACAGAAGCAGACTGCCGCATCTTTTTGCCTCAGAGCACACGGATGACAGCTGGTTAGTAGCTGAGCGGTTAAACCGTGGTGCCCCCAGGGCATACCTCGAGGACAGGGTCAAAGGGGGGAGGAAAGACATCCAACCAGACAAACCTCCCAAGCTGTCTGTCTCCGAGGCTTTAAGATGCCTTAAGAAACTGAGTTTTCCATAAGCCAGCAGGTTCCCAGACTGAAAGGGGCACCCTCAGTGGCCAGTGGAGAGCAGGTGACAAAGCAGATGCCAGGCCTTTCCAATCAGGAGCGGGGCAGGGGAATTGGGCTGCTAAGCCAGAGGTTGGCTCTTCAAACCTACCAGCCCCTCTGTGGGCGAAGAGGTTGCTGTCTGCTCCTGTCTAGATTTCAGCTCGGACACCCACTGAGCAATTCTACTGTGCCGAGTGGGTCGCTGAGCTGAAACAGACTGATGGCAGAGCACTTGGTATTAGCCTCCACTCTGCTCCGGAGAAACTCCATGGGTTCGATGCTCGGTGCTGCTCTTCAGCTCCCTGCACTTCCCCTTGACAGCCCAGTGGTGCTGCCTGGGAGAACTCTGAGGAGTCCTGCCTGGTGCTGGATTTCATCCCAGTAGCTGGCACAAAGCACTGGCCACTGGTAGTGGTTTAAAGCAATGGTTCTCCGAGTGCGATTCCCAGTCCAGACCAGTTAGTTCATGGGAACAAACAGACCGTGGTCGTGCTTTGCTCTATTGTCCATGGGATCCTAGGAGTCAGGGCCAGCATCACCATCACCATCACCAACCACAGGCGGACTGACTGATTCAGAAACTCTGGGCCTGAGGCCCAGCAGCCTCTGTTTTCTCAAGCCCTCCTGGTGGTTCAGAGGCAGCTAAGGCTTGAACCGCTAGTGTCAGCTCTGTTCTCTCCTGGCTGCATCAGAGAGTGCCTTGAGAAAGGACAGAAGC